CTGGCATTGGAACTCTAGGATTTCAAGTCGTCCGCAAAAAGTAAGCATGGACTCGCAAGAACGTCTGGGAGGTCGTTGACGTAGATCAGAAACAGGAGTGGTCCCAAGACGGAGCCTTGAGGAACTCCAATGGAGACCGGCGCTGGAGAGGAATAGGTTGAGCCTATTCTCACTCGGAATGACCTGTCTGATAGGAACGCCTTGATCCAGCGAAGGATTTTCCCTTGAATTCCGTAAGACTCGAGTTTGTGGAGCAGCGGGACGTGTGGGACCCTATCAAATGCTTTTGAGAAGTCGAAAAATATGGCATCCGATATGAGATTCGGTGATTTTGTATCGTTGTCCGTACCTGATGCTGGTAACCGAGATAAGATAATTGCTAGTGAAGTACAAAACAAAATATCACAATTGTGGATCGAAGAGGCTCGTCGCCATATTACGTTCAAGCAGTAGAAGGATAAGTGAACTCGAAATTGGTAGCAGTATCTAGAGTCGCTCCACTGCGATGGCCTCAAAACACTTACTAACCATGAGTTTTGTCGATTTGGGAGAAACATGGATGCCGGATTTGTCATATAACTGGAATATATCTGACTTCGGAGTGTTCCGCAGTGATTCACATGCGAGATATATAGCTGTATACTTGGGGCACGTGTTCTCTAACCCTGATGGTGAGACACATGACCGTTATGTCAACTTGAATGTCTTTGCAGTTACGTGCAGAGTGTGAATTACCTGCAGTGTGAATTTGGATCAATAGATTGGTCGCATTTAATTGTGGAGAGCAGTGCATAGGAGACGCGTAGCAAGCACGATCGCTGATAATTTCAAAGCATAAATTTAGATGCGCTGATCTACCTTCCCCGGAATGAAGCGTTTCAACGTTGTAGAGTTCCTACATGCATTGCCTCCCCAAGCCGCCAAAATACTTAAAAACATCATAAATGAGTCTGGTAAGTAGAAGTTTAGTGAACTTTATTCTTTTGTGAATGCACACCGGTCTCCGACCTTTTCTTTACCTTGCATTTATTGTTTCTGAGAGCAGGCTGTTGTGGCTGGGGGGGGGGGG